CTACAATTACTCGCAAAGTACTAAATCATATCATATTTGGTACAATTTGGTATTGGGTGGACATATACTGCTTGAAATCTTAAATTTGGTACTGGTGTCGCTGCTCATATGTAGCCTGACCATATGGAGGTGGTTTGTTAAATGTATACTATAATTGTACGAAAAGTACTGAATGGTACTATATTTGGTATTGAGTGAATCTATAGAGCTGAAACTCCGAAATGTGATACTGAGGTCTCTACTTCTACCTGGTTGTGGGTTTGCAAATGTGTACTATAATTGTACGAAAAGTACTAAATTTGGTATTAAATTGTGTATTGCATGAAGGAATAGAGCCGAAATCCTGAAATTTGATATAGATGTCACTATTAGAGTCTGCGGTTAAGATATGAAGTTGGTTTTGATATTCAGGTCTCTGTTGGTATCTGCGATTGAGATATGGAGGTGGTTTTGGAAATGTATACTGCATTTGTTCGACACGTACTGAATGGTACTATATTTGTTACAATTTGGTATTCGGTGAACAGATAATGCTTGCAGTTTGAAATTTTGTATTGGGGTCGCTGTTCATGTGTAGCTTTGGAAGTGTGTATTATAGTTGTACGAAAAGTACTAAATGGTACTAAATTGGATATTGGGTGAAGGAATAGAGCTGGAATCCTGAAATTTGATACTGGTATCTTGGTATCTGGGATTGAGACATGAAGGTGGTTTGGAAAATGTGTATTATAGTTGTACGAAAATTACTAAATTTGCTCTTGATTAAAGGGATAGAGATAAAATTCTGAAATTTGATATTCAGATTACTGATATTATCTGTTTTTGAGGTTTCGCGGTGGTTTGGAAATGTGTACTAAATTTATACGGAAAGTACAAAATGGTACTAAATTTGGTATTTGGTAAAGGGATAGAGCTAGATATAGATGTCACTGTTGGTATCTGGGATTGAGATATGGAGGTAGTCTTAAAAATGTGTACTACAATTGTTCGGGATGTACTAAATGGTACTAATTTTGGTACCCTAAAGGTGAGAATACATTAAACGCTTTTTTGACTGGCTTAAGTCATCGGCTGCCTCCTTCGGAAAAAAATACAAGAGCGTAGGGCCAAAATCGAACTAAGTCAACCTGAAACTAATTTTTTTCCTCTACGAAGTAGCCAGCCGGTGACTTAAGCCAGTCCAAAAAAGCTTTTTATGTACTCTCACCTTAAGGGTTGTGAAATTCAATATTGAGGTCAATATTGGTTTCTAGCATTTACATATGGAGACATTCAAATAATTTTGGACAGAAAAATTGAATATGGGTCCACTGTGCATGGGTAAACTTTAAAATTAAAGATTGAAGTCTTTTTGGTGTAAACGGTAAACATTTTCCTATTATTCTTTCCAACAAAGGAAAAACTTGAATAAAAAAAAAACTTCAAAATCTTAAAATGTGCAGAAGTTTTGAGGAAAATTTTTCCAATTGGGCATTTTGAGTACTAAAGAGGCCTAACATGAACTGTTGGAACGAATCTACAATTCTAAGGTAGACTTTTCGCTGACTAAGCAGCGGGCACATGCTGGTAATGTAGAATCACCTTTAGCTATTTCTTTAAACCTACCGGTAATGCTGAAGGTAGGTAGTCAACATTACATTTTTCGAATTATTCAGATCGTACAGTGGCCAAAAAAATGTCCATTTAGGTGGGCTTTTCTTAAACAACAAAGCGAATCTCTTTTATAGCAGATTTTTATAATTCTTTGTACTGAGATCGCAAAGTCTTAGAATCGAGTATAAATGTTCCGATTTTGCATTAATCGAAATTTGCTACCCCTGGCCCACTGTAATACAAAAAATAATTTATACTTTAACCTATTTACTACTGCAACGCCTAATGTTCATTAACTCATTAATTGTTGGGGTAGGTTGGTTGTTGGCCGTTGGTTGCCTCGCATCGATCCACTACCAATTGTTTCGAATGAATAAAAAAGTGGGTGTTGGAGCTCTTTAAGTGCGTTGCTTTTCCAATTTCAAACTCATTATTACACTTAGTTATCAATGACTTTGTTTGGGAGAAGTGGCAGGTAGAGATACTCGAATTTTCAAAAAGACGTTTGTTTTTGCAAAAAAAAAACAAACACCTTGGATTTGAAGTCAAATCTTTTTTTTTTTTTCGAAAAAAGTGTGTAAGCAACAAAACAACATTTCAAAATAATAACAAAAAATATGTGAGCAGCAACTATATACATAACGATTATATGACTTGGGGGCATGCGTCATGGCTGTTTGTTGATATTTAATATTTTTGCGTCCAGGCGGGGAGCGGTAGTGGAGGCGTTTTATGTCGCTCTACAAACGCATACAACACAAGCGCAAAGGCTTTCACAAAACCAACAAAAAATATGAATTTCGTACGGAGACAAAAATATGAGATTTTTGCAAAAGCCAATTGAAATGAACACTAAGCTCTTGTCGCAGCAACAGCCAATGACAACAATAACAAATTATTCATAATTAATTGTTATATACCTAAATATGTATGTACGTATTTGTTAGATGACTGTTGTTCTATTCAGATATAATCAAGGTAATATTTTTGTACAAAAAAACATAATTTTTGGATTTTTGCAGTTTTTGAAGTTAAAATGATTGATATTTAGCTATCATTTGTCATTTTACCGATGAATGGCTAAATACGCCTTATTTGCCGTCACAATGTCTGAATAGTGGAAAAGATTTAAGAAATGGGTAGGTTTTGTGTGTTAATGACACAATTTGCAGAAAAGTCTTGGCACTTTAATTCCGTTAACTTTTATACACAATTTGTATCTTTTTTATACCCTCCACTACAGTATGGAGGGTATATTAAGTTTGTAATTCCATTTGTAACACCTCGAAATATACATTTTAGACCCCACAAAGTATATATATTCTTGATCAGCATAAAATTCTATGTCGACTTAGCAATGTCAGTCTATCCGTCTGTGGAAATCACTCTAGCTTCCGAACGAAATGAAGTAGGTTGATAAAATTTTACTCAAATGTGTATTATGTCTGCACGACTTTTGGTATTGAAAATGGGCCATGACCGATATTCGGTATTTTGATAATTTTAGCGACATAATTTACCGGAACTATTTCAAATTTTGTATTGGAATTTCGTAATGAATACTACAGCCTATGCCAGAAAATTGTCTGTGCAGGTCCACGTCTTCGAATAGCGCCCATATAACGGTACACCCCGATATTCGATATTTTGATGATTTTAGCGACATTATTTACCGGAACTATTTCACATTTTGCATTTTAAGTTCGCCTACAGCCTATGACTGAAAATTGTCTGTGCGGGTCCAGGTCCTCGTATAGACCCCATATAACGGAACCTCCGATATTCGGTATTTTGATGATTTTAGCGACATTGTTCACCGGAATTGTTTCAAATTTGGTATTTGAATTTCGTAATGAATACTACCTATGACAGAAAATTGTCTGAGCGGGTTCAGGTCTTCGTATAGCCCCCTTACAACGGTACCCCCGATATTCGGTATTTTGGGGATTTTAGCGACATTAATTACCGGAACTATTTAAAATTTGGTATTTGAATTTCGTAATGGATACTACAGTCTATGACAGAAAATTGTCCGTGCGGGTCCACGTCTTCGTATAGCCCCCATATAACGGTACTCCCGATAATCGGTATTTTGATGATTTTAGCGACATCATTTACCGAAATTGTTTCATATTTTGTATTTGGAGTTCGTAATGGATACTACAGCCTATGTCAGAAAATTGTACGTGCAGGTCCACGTTTTATAGCCCCCATGGTATGTCCCTATATTCGGTATTTTGATGATTTCAGCTACATTATAAACAGATTTTTTTTCAAGTTTCGCATTTTAATATTGTAATAGCTTGTGAAAAAAATTGCCTATGCAGGTCCACGTCGTCGTATAGACGATTAAGATTTTAACAGAATTTTTAATGGATTTTATTTTATTGGAAATTGCCAAATTTGTTCCAAATGGTGGAGGGTAGTTCCGGCCGAACTTACAGCTTTTTTACTTGTTGCATTTTATAAATGGGTAGATTCAACCGTAGTAACCTTGCTTATTTTTTCTTAATTGTCTCACTGTCAAAATGTTTATTTTATAAAAAAAATATTATCCTGTAGAAGATGAGACTCATGATTTTATTTATTAACTTATTTAAATCTTCGCTGTGACAAAATTATAAATTGGGGTTTTCTCTTAACTTACTTTCAGCTTTCTAGTCCTCAAACGAACGAATAAAAATGGTTGCAGTTGCATTTTTAAGCCTTTCACTCTCTCCTTTTGGAGTTTTAAGCATTTCTCGGGTTATCACAACTTGGTTGCTCTTACCGTAATCCGAAGTGGGCTATTCATGCTACACCTGTCATTTGTTGCATCGACAATCATACCATAGCTGCACTTGTGACATTTGTTCGGCAACTTTTTCTAAGAAAATCATTAAACTGATACGGAAGGTGCACAATTCTGCTTGAAAATTGAAGAACAAAAATAATAATAATAATTATACCACGCTGAAGTCAAGTGTGAAAATGGAAAATATCCAATATATAAAGAGTATTTGTTTCATAAAATATTAAATTAGCACCCGTTTTTCCTACTATTTCTACCAATATAAAAGCTGGTGTTAAGATAGGTTATATCTTTGCGAATTTTAAATTTTTGAAACCCTCTAAAATATGCGGCGTCCACAATGAAAACCTTGTATATTTGTATCAAACATATTTTTTTTTTAAATTTTTAATTCTAATAAAATGTGAACATATTTTCAATTTTCCGCACAACTTTCCATATATATATATTCCGTATATATTTTCCCAGAAAACTAAATTTTTTTATTAAAGCTTACCTTTTCAAAAATTATTAAGAAATCCAACAAACCATTTGAATACAAAAATATTTATTTATTTATGTTTAATATTGAATAACAATAATTTCTTATTCTAACAATTTTTATAAATCAATCGGCATTAAAATCTAATTGAAAAAACTATTTATTAACCTACTTATAATTAAGAAATATTTATATTATAATAAAAGAATCGAAAAAAATAAATATATTATATACGGTATGAGAATTTAAAGAGAATAAGGTAAATATAATAAAAATAAATCTTAGCTCAAAATATTTACTTAATGAATGTGAATAACAATAACAATTGTTTGATATTATAATAACAATTTATTTATATTTATTATTATTTAATTGGCACCTTAGAATCATATATTGAAAATTAATAAACAATGAACACAAATAAGATCGTAAGCGAGAGAGTGATAGAGAGATAGGGGTGATATTTCGAAAATGGCAAAGAGAAGTATTTATTTAAAAAAAAGGATTTGCATTTTTTTTTTTTAATTTTGAAACACTAAAATCAAGGAAAACTTTAATTAATTATTTAATATTTGTTAAAAAATAACAATAATTGTTTAATAATAATTGTCTAATAATGTGACCCGATTGGAAATTATTTTGTTTAATTAATACAACGTGAGATGAAAAAAACTGCAACCAACTTCAGACTGCTGTCATTTCTGAGCTACTCGTCCGACAGCTGTTAAAATTGTCCAAGTGACAGCTCATTATATTGTTTACAAACGTGCAAAAGTATTTTGGTGAATAAATCACTCGTTACCGTGCTACTGGTAGCGTAGCCCGACCGACTTCAAGAAAGTGGACGGAAGAAAACAGCATCAGCAGAAATGGTTGGAAAAGTAAAGAAGCGACTTGATCGAAACCCGCGTCGCAGTGGCTGAACATATCGCAACATTCCATTCGGCAAATTTTGAAATAAGAGCTCGGGGTAAAGCCATTGAAATTCCAAAAAGTGGAAGAACTTACACCGCAACAGAAAGAGAATAGACTCAAAAGAGCTAAAGAGTTGCTTCGCTTGGCCGAAAGTGGTGAACCGCCGAATTTGGGGTTTTCCGATGAGAAAACATTCGATGTCCAGCAGTTTGTAAACAAACAAAATGATCGTGTTTACTTGCCAAAGAGGTCAGCTGAAAATGTGTACCTTCGGCTGCTCTCGGCTCTTATTAATCGACCGTGGCATCAGAATAAATGCCGAATATTATTGCGAAAATATTCTGGAGGGTGTATTAAGGCCTTGGGCACTCAAACATTTTGGCGGTAGACCTTGGATATTCCAACAGGGAAAATATTATGGAGGGTGTATTAAAGCCTTGGGCAGGCAAACATTTCGGCCGCAGACCTTGGACATTCCAACAGGACTCAGCACCATCGCACTCAGCACGCGCCAACCAAGAATGGTTACAAAATGAGGTTCCTCGCTTCATTTCCAGCTCACAATGGCCACCAAAATCTCCGGACAGCAATCCGTTGGACTATTGTGTCTGGAATATTTTTGGAAAGCAAGGTTGGCACTAAATAATACCAAAGTATCGATCGCCTCAAGCAAACGCTTCGGGCAGCGTGTGATGGTTTCATTGGCCGCTTGAAGGCCATAATTCGTGCCAAAGGTGACCAGTTCGAACAAATCTAAACTTATTCTGAAATTTAATGCCACTTCTGACATTTATTGCTTTCATTCAATAAAATTAAAAAAAAATTGTAAAAATTATGGAATTTGACTTTGTTGCAGTTTTTTTTATCTCACCCTGTATGGTTTCCTGTGGCACAAAAATAAAAATGTTCTCATAAAAAATCTATAGAAATGGAATGATTTGAATTTTCCGAATTAAAATTTATTTTTAATTTTGAAGGCAGTTTGAGCTATTTTTTATATAACCTGTTCCATGTAGTCTTCAAATACAAGGAAAAGGATGTAGGGAAGGGACTTTGGGATGGGAAAGGATCATGGGAGCGCAATGGAATATGGTGTGGGAAAGGATCATTGGGATTGGGAAGGAAAAACTGGAATGTAATGGAATTTTGCTGGGAATAATATGGAGTTGGGATTTTTTAAGGAAATTATTCGGAAAACATGGAACCTGAAATGAAAAAAATAATAAATTATTAAGAAAAATTACATTACCGCGATTCTCCTCTTTGGCCATTTTCAAAATCTCACTCCATCTGAAAATTCAATTGCTGAATTTAAAAAATTATATATATTACACATAAATGTCTTAAGGAAGACAAAAAAATTAATTAATTTAAATATGTATGGCATTGTGTATATAAATAAATATATACATTATATAACCAAGGAAATGTGATACCAATTTGATTTGTACTACAAAAAAAGTAAATGTACTATTTTTTGAAACCCCATGAATTTTAAAGGTATTTGGATCCACTAATGATAAGAATTTCGATTATCTTTTGCAAAAAAACTTCCAATTAAGTACAAAATCAATGCCAATTTTTCGTTGTAATTTTTTAACACATTTTGATTTGTTCTTGGAAATTGTGTTGAAGTTTTTCATGTCGTTTTTTTTTAATTCATGTAATTTTTCGTGTAAAAATATGTAAATCTTTAAATAATTATAAAAGTATGAATAATAATTATAAATTCTTATAAGTTTTAACATATATTGTAAATTTAAGAATTTTCACAACTATTTTATTGTTAATGTTCTTATTGTTAAATAATGTTGTTTATCTTATTTTAAATGTTAACAATAAAACCTATGAAAAAAAGTTTATAATTTAATATCAAATTTTGAGGGAAATTTGCAGTATTGTTTCAATTGTTAGAAAATATATTCAATAATAAATCTAAAAATCTAGGTTATGTCGTATGTCGAGATTTAGGCTAAGTGCCTATTTAATAAATTATTTTATTTCTTTCATTTCAGATTTTATTTATAAATCTTTTGGACCTCGTTATGTCCGATTCTCTACCAAAAAATTGTTTTGTCTATATTTCGTGGTTAGAAGATCAAAATCAATTGATTTGTCTCCTCAAATTAATAATCCTTTTTTTATTTCCGTGACATTAATGGTTATATTATTATGACCAAATTATTATCGTATGTTTACATTAGAGCTGTTTGCCAGGTTAATCTCTACATAAAGGTAATTTTATTTTATGTATATGCAATGAAATTGGCAATTCAATTCCACTGGGTTTTGTAAATTTTGTAAGGTGTAAACGTACTATTAGTCTTCGGCCACGGTTTTTTTTATCATTTCGTTTTATTTGATATCATAATAATATTTGTAATATAATCGTTAATCATATTTTTTATGATAATTCATTCCATTATTTTGAATACAATCTTTGCGAATTTTAATAGTTTTTTAAAAATTTGTATTATTTTTTTCAAAAACTCAACATGACCAATTATCTTTGTCTGCCAATTACTTCTTTTAATTAGTTTTGTATATTTGAATTGTTAATTTTTTCTAATATTATTATTTGTTGTTTTCAATTGAAGTATAATATTTTTATTCGATATTGGGCTGGAAAATTCCCAAAGCAGAAATCTTTTATTAACTTACATGTGAATATACCTTGCAATACAACGGCCTATTTTTAACATTAGCCTATGTAAATTTATTTGTTTAACTGATACATTTTTGGCAGAACAGAAATATATTAATTCTACCGGTGAAAAAAATATCAGCTGATTTCTCTGCGTTCCCTTGAGTCCTTTTCTTATAGTTGGCAACACTATTGTATTGCAAGAGAAATGTTATCTCAGAAAAAATCTGCCTGATTTACACTGCTGGGTGAGCAATAAATTCTCAATGCATTTTTTGAATGAAAAATTATTCAATTTTTGTTAAATCAACGTATTTTCGTACAAGTGGTGATGCCCCCTCAGGGATGACTTTTATGGGGATTTATTTAAGATTCAAAAAAGTGAAATATTTTATATCAAAGGCCTTTGAAATTCTTGAGTGGTACAGCATTTGACAATGCCAATGTAGGTATATATTCCCTCCATATCATCGCATAGCCTGTACTGATCCATTGAACCGCTATTTCGATCTCATGGTTATTTAACGAAAGTAAAAGCCAAGACAGAATCAAAAGTTCACTGTGGTCGTTGTTTTTCGTGAAGCTCGATGGTTGGCAACACTTTTGTTACTTCCATATGATTACTGATGTTTTGACAACACCAAACGCATTGCTTACGATGACACATTGATTCTGTCTTGGGTCTTGAGGAGGAAATTTGATGACACAATAAAATCGGACAATGTGTCCCAATACATCTGGCTTAATTTTGTGAAAATTTGACACTTCCAGTTTTTCAGACATTTCAGCACCAGAGATCGTGAATCGAAAGTCGACTTACGTATCTCTACACCTGTCACAATGTTAACCTCCATAAGCATAAAAGCGTTCCATGTTGTGATTAGAGTTGCCAACGCATACCATTGTAGTTGAGAGCATGTTTACACATACTAATTCCAGAGGATTTCAAATATCAATTCCATTGCGCATACGTCAAATTCAAAATCAAGTAAATTTCATCTGACACATACTCAATAAAATTAAAAAATTTACTGGATTTATGTATAACGTTCAACATAGGCTACGAATTTCTCTTAGGGGCGCTGGTAATGAATATTGATTGCCTTTAGGCCTAATGATTGATATCTATAGATGTCTTTTAAAAGTCTTCTATGGATGTATATCATTTAAAAAAAATGTAAGAAATTAGAAGACCATTGCCAAATATTTTATGAATAAATTGGGGTCTGTTTACAGAACTTCTGATAGTGAAAGAATCTTTATGAAGTTTCATATAAGTTGCCAAAACTAGCATATTTATCCCTCATAGTTGCCTATTTTTCTGACTTTTTTCTAATTGTGTCTCTGATTTAAATGAGAAATTGTTCAAAATCCTAAGATCTCAAATTCACAAACCGTTCATGACCCGTCGACTGTGTGAATTTTATCACAGACAAGAGTTTACTTTGATTATTTTCGATTATTATCGATTTATCGAAAGTCGACTTACATATCCCTACACGTTTCACAATCTTAACCTTTATGAATCGAAAAGCGTTCCATGTTGTACTATTTTCAACAAGACTTTCCAATGGATATTGTTGGAATTTATAATATAGGCTTCGGAGTTGCCTCAGGGGCATAAGTAGTGAAGATTTATTGCCTAAAGACCTAATATATTTTCTATGGATTACTTTGAAGGTCTTCTATACATACATCCTTTGAGAAGTGTCAACAAGTTAGAAAACCATTAAAGTAGAATATTTTATTAAAAACTTAGAGTCCGATTACAGGGCTTCTAATTATGAATCTGGATAATTGTCTTAATAAAACCCCCAAATTTCTAGAATTTCATATGCGTTACCGCAAAACTCACATATTTAATTCTCATTTTGTATTCGTGGGGAAAAAATATTCTTAAAATACACAAAAACGATAAATTGAATTTTGGAAAAAAAAAAAAACGTCTACTACTTTTTGGTCAATACCACGATTTGGTGGAAATGTGACTCAATTACGAATACAAAGGTTAAATAAGGGTTAATGAAACTTCCTTGTATTTGTTAAACAAAGTCTGTTAAACCTGTGTATGCTTTCAAACTATTCAATATTAACTAAAATCTAAATGAATCTTATCATATGTAAATAAAATCTCTAAATCGTAAAACAATATATTTAAAATAAAAAATCTTGAGACTTGTTGTAAATTCGAAATATGTTAAATTTAAAATTTTCAGTGTACTATGCCATGGTACAATTATTTCACGGTTGCCTTCCTCTGGATTTTCCGTAATTTTAATGGCATTACAAATTTAAATAAACAAGGTTACCTGGATAATTCTACCATGTACTAAAAATACACTTTTTAAAAACCAATTTCAAAATCATTTTTTTTCTTCTAAAAACTAATACCTGAGAATTTCTAAAATTTCTATAACTTTTCACACTCAAAAACCATTTTCTATTTCAAATCATTTAAATCTTTACCAAAACTGGTCTGCAATTTTTCATACACTATCGTTCATTGTCCTCCTTATAACTTTCATTTCAATTCCAAATCCTTTCATAGAATATTCAATTTATTGCCTATATATTTGCCAATTGATTGTGGTTGTTGTTGTCGTTCATCTAAGACTAAAATATAAAAACAATAAATTCATAAAACTAAACAAATGATTATTTTTACTATTCTAAAATACTGCAATTTTCCCACAACTCTTGGTAAAATTCGTAAGGAAAAAATAATAAAATAACAAAGGTGCGTGCGCGGTTTCAAAACCCGTATCGAAAAGAAACAAAAACAATTATCAACAATTTAATAATAACAAAATCTATGTGAATTGGCGGGGAGGATTTAGAGGAATTTACAGCCATTGATTTTCTTTCTTCATTTCTTTTAAAAGATTTTGTTTCTTTTTCGTCTCACTAACCCTATTTATCCGTTAAAAAAGACAATAATTAACAACAACAAAGTAAACTACATAATACATACAAACATGAACACTTTCGTTACTAAAAATTATGTAGGTTGCTACGCAAAAAAAATCTTACCATTTTATTCTTACCCATGTCTAGAATCAAAAAAAAAATCCCCAGGTTTCCCCAATCATTCAAACGATACCCCTCTCCTCCTCTCTAGACGGGGCCAATAGTTTGTTCCAGTTTTCGTGCCCGAAAGCCAAAACCCTTGCTGCCATCCGGTCCCATGGGAGTACGCACCAAATGCTCGGCAGCACGGGTGGCAAACGAACCGGAACGTGAGCGTGGTGAGCCATCAATAAAACTTCCGGTACGTGAGCGTGGCTGGCCATCATAATCATTTGGTCCATGTTTATAGCTATTCAAAAAGCTGCCGGTACGTGAGCGTGGAGATCCCTCATATTCGGAACCAAACGAACAACGACGATCATAACCCGAATCGGTGGATATACGACGTCCTCCAATATACTGAGCATTATCATATTGAGCCAATTTACTGCTGATGTTGTTGAAATTGTTCGAATAACGTCTGGGGAAGACATTGTAGCCGCCACCACCTCCACCCACATTGGGATCTTCATAGGGTGAACCCGGTTGAGTATCGAGCGATTGTTTGCGATCCAAATTGAAGTCATTTGACATGCGACGATGATAACTGTTGTTGTTATTGCCACCGCTGTTGCCATTATTAATGTCGCTGGCATTCGAAAAGGTTCGCTCAAACTGCATTGAACCATTTGAGAAGCGGCGCTCACTGTTGCTGCCCACCGAACCCAAAGAAGATTTGCGATAAACCTCCGAATTTTGTGCAAAATCGGAAACACGTCTCGAACAGGGACAGTTGTCCGAGCAGTTTGAGTCGCGTCTCTGTGGGGCATTATCCGAACAGTTGGATGTGCGTCTGACCATTTCGGCATAGCCACTGCCACCTCCTTCCTGGGAACAGTTTGAGAGACGTCTCTGCAGATTTGAACCCGAGCCGCTGTTCACCAAACCGGAATTGCTGTGCTGATGGTGTAACGGCTTGGTATGTTCCATTGTGGCATTCATATTGGCAGCCGTATTGGCCGAAATTGTGGATGTGTTGCTATAACGCCTAGGATTGTAGGCAAAGTAATTGGCATTGGTACCCGGTGAAATGGGGCTTTGTGGCGTAGACTCCTGGCTAATGCTGCCCCTAGGTTGATAATGGTAATGATGATGTCCAACGTTGGGAGCTGGACCCGAATTCATACTTTGATGTTGAGGTTCACTGGCAGCAAAACTGCCGCGATGTGCTCCATTATACGCCGGAGCATGTCCATGGAACTGTTGTGGTCCTCCGCTACCAATATAGGTGTTGGGTATTTCCGTAGGATAAGTTTTAGCCGAGAAATCGGAGTTGTTACGTTTCAAACGATAACGCAAATCAAAATCATGAGCCACCGCGCCACCACTGAAGCTTCCGCCTCGGGTCCGTTCATAGTTGTGATCATTGAAGTAGCGATAATTTTCCACCATGCGCACCACGGGGGCGGTGACTTGTATGACAGCCTTTTTGCCGGTCTTCTTCTTGGGCGCCACCATTTCGTAAACCTTAAAGGGACCTTGTAAATTGCGGGCCTCTCGAGCTGAGGCCGATTCCAAATATTCCACCAAAGCACATTCCTTCTGTTGCATTTCCGGATATTTGTTCATAAATTGACGAACATCCACGGGGATAGCCATGCCCGGTTTCAGGATACGTATCAAGGCAATTTCACCACACTTGGAGAAAAGATCCGATACCTTTTCAATGGTTAGTTTATCCAGGGGCAAATCACACACCACTATGGTGCGAGAAGGCATGGTCTCGTCAAAGTTTGGCAAGGGTTCGATACGCCTTACCTTGGTACCCAAATCATTTAGCTCGATTTTTTGTGATTTACGTCGAACGGCATTTCCCACCACCTTCCATTCCTTGGTCAGTTGGCGTACCCGTTTGAAACTGGAGACCAATTTTAGGCTCACAAATCCCTCCTTATTACGCTTGACATGTTTCAAGAGGAAGGCATCCTTGAGTATAGATTCATTGGAGAAATAAAATTCTACTGCCTCGGCAATTTCACAGGCCAGCTCATCGCTGGGTATCAGAGATGGATCCAGCGTATCAATTTCATTGACCAAGGGCTTATTGTCCGCGGAAACTGTGGTGGCCTGAGACACCACTGAATTGGCTGGCTCTGCTGCGGGCGCTTCCGATTTTTTCATAGTTAAAAAGGAACGATGTACCCGTTTCTGTTCCGCATTGATGGGTGCACTGGTGATACTTGGTTCAGCTGCAATGTCGTATTTGAAGTTAGGATGTAAATATATATTATCCATGTGCGGATGTGCAAGTTGATGAGATCCGGTTTGATTTTTACGGAATTTTTCTAAATTAGCCTCACTTAATACTGCCGTGGTAGTTGTGCTAGTGCTGGTGGTTAAATTCGTATCAGCCATGGGACTGAGTGGAGAGTTGCGTGTTGGTGACGACGTCAAATCGATATCATGTAAGACATGATTATCCACAGCCAAAGGTTTCAGTTCGTCGTCTTCTTCAGACTCCTCGGAGCCTTCAATGGAAGAACCCATACCTACATCGATTTTTTCATCACCGTTTTCCGATGGTGAGTTACGTGGTGGTGGTGGAGACATGGGTGGTGCCGAGGCTCCCATACTCTCATGGCAGCTATCATCATCACTGCTGTTACCGGTGCCACCGGCTGGCATACCTTCATCGCTGCCAAATTGTGAATCCATGGATTGATTTTGTGATTCAACTTGATGCAACAGGGCCTGGGCCGAACGTTTGGCATGGAATCTCAGCAGCTTGGAGGGCAATGATGAGGAGAGTGGTACAATGGCTTTATTTGAGTGTTCCGGTGATGAACAGGAACTGCTGCTGCAACAAGGCTGTTCATCCATTTCCACCATTTTTCTTTCCTGGGGTTTTTCCCCACTGCTCACAGGTATGGCTTTAAGCTGATCACCACTTCCATCCTTGAGATTGCTTTCCAGGCTGGTCTCAGTGCTGGTCATGGTTGTTGTCTCTGTACGCACTGTGGTCACCGTGAAGGTGTGTCCATTCTTAATATGTTGGCTGCGTACCTCACACACTTCCCTTTCGCCCTCAGGCCATTGATCATCAGATTCCAACAATGCCTTAGAATCTCTACGGCTAAGATCTATTATCTCCTCAGCTTGGGGTATGCTTGGTGGAGTGGTGGCAGATTTTTCCTGGTCACTCATTTTTATATAAGTTTTTTTTTAATAATTTAATTGATTTAATTTAAACGTTTACGTTTCTATAAGAAACAAAAATTGTAATTTTGCAGTGATTGATTTTTTTAGATTGCAAATTTTTTCCTTATTCCAATTTAGTTTTCCTTTTTGGTTTCTTTCTTCTTTTTGTGAGTATCAAAATGTTGGCTTTTTGTTGGCTGGCAATTGCTGGGAAAACTTGTGGATTTTCTTGCTTTATTTGTATTTCTCTTTATTTGGAATCGTGTGAACCAAACATTGTTAGTTTGCCCGGTCGATAGTGATTTTATTTCTTTTTTTATTTATTTATTTTTTTTTTTTTTTTTTGCCTTGCACTCCAACAAATAAGCTCGGGTTATTGGTCCAAAGTCAATTTAAAGTTCACAACACAGCGCTTAATGTCAATTCCGTTATGGGCAAAATGCAAAACCACAACAACATGGGAAATTCAATAGCAAAACCATTAGAGTTTTGTGTTTCACTTTCACTTTCTGCTACCAAATGGCGCCCAACGTAAACGTAGGGGGGGGGGGGGGGGGGGAGGTTGTTTATTTGTTTTCAAGGTCGTTGATTTTCTGCTAATCACAACACAACTATCATTGTCAATTCCCTTGCGAATCACACGGGCATTCGAGTTTGTTTGTTTTCGCCTATTACTTTCACTTTCTTCTAGATGGCGCCCGATGTGTACGTTTTGTTTATTTACAATTTCAAGGTCGTTGATATAACGTTACGTTATTGAGGTCTCTATGCGAACGAACACGTATGTATGATCGTGCCGCTACACGATTGCTGAAGCTAGTTTGGCTGCACCACTCTCTTTCACTCTTTCTTTTATGAGTATGTGTTGAGTTTAGTTTAGTTTGAACTCTCTTCTTTCTTTTCTTTCTCTTATTTGGAAATTCTTCACCAACCAGTGGGGTATTTTAATGTTCACACGATAACTTGTTCACACTTAACTAGACGTTCACTGAACGTTTTCTGGTCTTTTGATTTAAATGTTTATAAAGTTTATTGCATTATACCACGAGTAGCAGAGGTTCGCGTTTTGTTGTTATTGTTTTATGATGTATCGTGTTTTTTTTTTCGTTCAGCTTGTTACTTCTTCAAGTTGTCTTGCAAGCTATGTTGTAATCCGCTCTTCTTGGTAGTTCGATTGCTTTTGAAGACGTTTTGGCTGCTTATCTAGTGGTCTAGTGTCTGGTCTCAGTGGCGAGAGGAACTGTTTAAACTTTGAATGTCTGTGACGCGTTTGACGTTTGAGTAACTTTGGCCAAGTGAACGTGCTTAAAATTGCAACTGGTTTTTATTTTTTGTAAACACTTTTGATTTCAATTCGTCTGTGGTTTATTTCCCCTTTGAGTTGGTAATATTTTTTTGTTTTGGGGGCAATGCATGCATTCGGCCAGGTTGTTAACTGTTGCCGTTGCGTTTTGCTATTTAGGCCACGATATGCTTAACACGCACTCACCAATTTGTCACAACTCTTAGATAATAATGTCGGGCCATCCGTCAGCGAGTGGCTCTTGGAAAACCAATAAACGATCACCTATTTCTTGAGGTTCGTTTTTGCCTTCTTTTTTTCGCTTTGGCGTTGGATTTTAATATTCCCAACACGTCTTTGAGTTTTATGGCTAATAACTTAGCTCTTTATTTTAGTGGGGTTTTTGTTTTTCTTTGTTTTTTTTTTTTTTTTCGGTTTCTCTTAACTCTTCTTCACTCACTTCACCCTCTTCGTTTACAACTCACAATAGTTTTCGTTAATAGTTTTTCTTCGTCTTCGTTTTGTTTTATGCATTTGTACCGCAACCAAATTCAAGTTCAAGCAAATTTACAAAATTTTCTTCTTCTAACAATTGTTGTTCATTTGAAAACCGCACAAGATTTGAAAAATAAAATTAACCGTTAAAACCGTAACCGTATGTGTGGCTGTCTAACTGACTGTTCGATCCAGATCAGTAATAGTTTGGTTGGTTGGTTGTTTGTTTGTTTTGTTATGAAAACGGCACACAGAGAGTGAGTTCATGCAACGACGCTGCAACACGGAGATAGACTGAAATTGCAAATTGATTTGAGGTCGGTTAAATACCCTCTGCTTTCGTTGTTTGGTTTTTTTGTCGTCTGCCATTGTTGCTGTTGTTGTTATCGTCGTGGTTTTGTGTCATTATTGCCTCTACTGTGTTGATTGGTTTTCGGCGTGCGCTGCGTTGTGTTGCTCAGTTTCAGGCAAATCAACGGCGGCAGCAGCAGCGGCGGCGTCGACGTCGTTATTTGCCTCTTACGGTTTGTGTTCAGGTTCAGTTAAAATCGGCTTCCTTCGTTTTTGGTTGATGTTGTTGTTGTTGCTCGGATATAGAGCCACACACAAATATTGTCCTCTTTGCTGCCGCCGACACCGCTTTAGCACATTATTTGTGTTGTTTTTGTGTTATTGACGCAGTTCTCAGTGCCGGGAGAGGTGCTTAAAAGCAGTGGTGCTCAAAACCGTGTTCTAGAACATGAAGAGAAAAAAGAGATAATTTAAGAGAAAATTAAAATTCTGTATTTCTTTATATTTTACGGTTCTATTTAATTGGTTTTAAACACGAATGTTTGCCAAAATAATTTATAAAGCAAATGGATAAAAAATATTTGTATAAATAATGACTTAACACTGTTTTGTTCTTGATTTAAATAAGCAAAGAGAAATTTGACTGAACAGAGATATTTTTTCTTGAGCACCCCTGTTAAAAGTCTGGTGGCGAACTTTTTGCACACGCAGCACACCCATACCAACGTGTGTGTGTGTAGGCCCTACACACTTACATTTCGCATACGCATAATATTTGCAAATCAAAAACAACAACATGAACAAGCGGCTGGCAAACTTGTTGCTCTCCTTCTCTGTCAACGCTGATGTTGTTGTTTGTTTTTTTTTTGCAATTATTATTCTCGTGGGGTGCTTGTTTGAAAAGAAAAAAACAACAATAACAAATAAAAGCTAACAGCCTTACAACAATGATTTAATTTTTTTTTTGTGCACGAATTACTTCCGTTTTTCTTCGCAATTAATAACAAATGGCAAAATCTTGGCGATATTTTTGTTGTGTGTTTGGGGCTGTCTGTCAGTTAACAGAACATTCATGATCTCTATTATTAATGTGTGTGTGGTAAAAGTGCAGGCCTGGGAAGATTTAATTATCTTGAAATATAGTTCATAAGTTAAAGTAATTTAGATAAATAATTTTTAAAGTGAGAATACATAAAAGGCTTTTTGACTGGCTTATTCGTAAAAAATAAGGGCCATTCCAAATTTGAAGACTGTATCACTAACCGATCAAACGATATTTGCATACAAAATCTAAAACTTTTGGAGCTACCTCCGATTCTGATGATATATCTCTAGTTCCAAGTGGAATTTCAAAAATTTATATAGCCTATGTTACTTTCAGGCGATGCCATAATATATTTGACAATCTTCAGGAAAATCAATTCAGCGGCTTTCGAGTCAATAATTTACAAACAAGCAATCAAAGATGCAAACATTAACTTTTATATGGATATTAATATTTTGACATACACACACGGATAAAAAAAGCAGTAAGATCGGCGGCGCCTCCACCATTTGAAAATTTAAAAAATATAGTATTAGAATTCGAATTAAAAATCTTAAAAACACAGTCTATAGGATGTTACTGTTATTTTGAGGTCTGCAATTTTCTGTCACAGGTTGTAGCATGGTACAATGATATCAAGGTAGGGCTATGATACCATATGATTTCAATTTTTTTATTTTCTTGGCTTAATATGTCATCTTTATTTGTTTATGTATGTGTTTTCTTTTCAATAACAAAAAAATTGTTCAGAAAACATTCAAATTCAGGTGTTTTCAAAATGTTTATTTCAACGTATGCGTCGACAAAATCTAGAGTTTTTGTAGCGAAATAATCCTTTAGAGATATATAGTACAGGATTTTGAAAAGAAGTGTTGACCTTTCATTCAGTTATCGCGGTTTTCAATTATTTATTCAAAATAAATGCAACAAGTTGTTTGATTTTGTTATTGTTTTGATACTATTTCTGACATTACAAGCCAAACAGGTAGACCTCTATACTTGCAATTTTTTCAAAGTTGACCTACCTTCTCTTCATTGTACCATGGGTTGTAGTACCCATTACGAAGTGCAAATACGAAATTTTAACAATTCCGGAGAATAATGTAGCTAAAATCACCAAAATATCGAATACAGGGAGGTACCGATATTGAGGGGCTATATGAAGTCCAGCTTAGACAATTTTCTATCACAGGCTATAGTTCTCTATGGAAACTTCAAATACGAAATTTGAAACAATTCTCGTGAATAAAGTCGCTAAAATCATCAAAATACCGAATATCGGGAGGTACGTTATATGGGTGATACACGAAGACGTGGACCTGCACAGACAATTTTCTGGAATGGGCTGAAGTATCCATTACGAACTTCAAATACCAAATTTGAAACAATTCCGGCAAATAAAGACGCTAAAATCATCAAAATACCGAATATCGGGGGGTACAGTTATATGGGGGCTATACGAAGACGTGGACCAGCACAAACAATTTTCTGTCATAGGCTGTGGTATTCATTACGGACTTTAAATACCAAATTTGAAACAATTTCGGTGAATAATTTCGCTAAAATGTTCAAAGTACCGAATATCGGGAGGTACCGTTATGTCGGGTATATACGAAGACGTGGAAATTAACAGACAATTTTCTGTCTTTGGCTTTACAATTCATTACGAACTTCAAACAATTCCAGTGAATAACGTCCAGAAAATCATCAAAGTACCGAATATCGGGAGGTAACTTTATATGGGGTATATACGAGCACGTGGACCTGCACAGACAATTTTCTGTCATAGGCTGTAGTATCCATTACGAACTTCAAATACCAAATTTGAAACAATTCCGGTAAAAAATGTCGCTAAAATCATCAAAATGCCGAATATCGGGGGGACCGTTATATGGAGGCTGTACCTAAACGTGAATCTATATAGCCCATACCTAAACGTGGATCAATACCAAAAGTCCTGCAGACCAAACACATTTGGTGATAAAGTTTTGAGCAAAATTTTATCAACCTACTTAAATTCATTCGGAAGCTAGAGTGATTTCCACAGACGGACGGCCATCGCTAGATCGACATAGAATTTTATACTGATCAAGAAATTATGTATTTTCGCGGGTCCAAAATGTATATTTCGAGGTGTTACAAACGGAATGACTAACTTAATATACCCTCCATACTATGGTGGAGGGTATGTGACAGCACATATGTAAAACACATTCCGCCTGATAGTATAAAATTTTCACATTGAAAGAAATGCTCTGTTCTATAGCCCCGTATGCATTCTGTAGCCCCCGGTACATCCGGATTATCAATATTTTAAAAGTTCCGGTCTCAATGTCTAACCAAATGAAATGAAATTAAATCAATGAACACCAGATTTAACCCACGGGGAAGAATACATTCACTAGATCTACCTAAAGGTTTAAACTAACACAACGTTGAG